GCAAATAAGCTGTAAAGAAACACATTATCTTCTTTTGTAGTCTCTTGATAAAGAGCCAACAAATGCTTTTGTATAAATGTTGTTGTCATATTGTAATTGTACACAGATTTAATGCTTTCGTATAAGTGTTGTCATATTGCAACTATACACAAATTTAGAGTACTCATATTGTAACTGTACACAGATTTAGAGTACTCATTTTGAGCATTTACTATGCGTTTCTTCTTCAAAGTCCAGTGAACTATGCCTTTATTCTTCTAAGTCCAGTGAAGCTATTGCCTTTCTTCTTCGAAGACTAGTGAAATCCGAGATTCAAATACTATGAACTCCTTGCGCAGCATCTTCAGATAACTCTTGATTTGCTTCTTAGATGCTTCTGGTTCAAAACTTTTTGAAATAATTAGCTTTCTTCAGCTTGGTTGGCGTTGTGAACAAGAATTTGAAGATTTTTCGTTCTTGACTAGTGCCTTGAAAGTTTCTCCGCTGAAACATTTTCACCTAAGAAAAGTCCTGAGCAAAATCAGGCTGCTTCCATGAGTCATTGTTAGATCGCACGAGGTGGTGGCCATGAAGCTGCAAAGAAGTTCAAAAGAGTGAGCTATTCAGTGAGATTTCAATATTTATATATAGATGTTTCCAATAATGAGGCTAATTTCAAAATTTGTAATTTCAGTTGTTCAGCAAGTCTTTAATGCATCTTGACACGAGCTATTCAGCAGGTTCTAGAAGCATCGAAGAATGATTGGCTAAAACCAGACCAGTGGACAACATTGTTTGACAATGAGTGACCTCAAAGTTCTAATACTTTTCTACTACTTCCAAGAGTTAAATGTTTATTCATTAGCTATTGAACATGTTTTCATACGAGTTAAAACGAAGTTAGATTTAATTTTAATCATATTTTGTTTCTATCCAATATTTCTTTACCCTAATTGAAAACTATATTTAACTTTCAAATCTAAGATCGACTCTGTGGTGGATGAGTCCAAACAAACTCTATTTACGGAGGAATTGGGAATTAGCCAAATAACCGATGTTGGAAAATCATGTTATATAAAAATTTATATAAAATTTGGTTTAACTAGATCTAAAAATTACTTAACCAAAAATTTTATATAATTTAATAATAACTATAATGGTTTAGTAGAAAATTTTATATAAAAATCGTAACAGAATAGTTAGAAGAGCTAAAACTACCTTTAATAATAATAATTATAATGGTTTAGCAGAAAAAATTATATAAAAATTGTAACAGAATAGTTAGAAGAGCTAAAACTATCTTCAAAAATAAATATCTTGGATTCTTAACCACCCAAAAGGGTAGATTTTATACACCAAGAATATCTAGTAAGGGCATGTACATTGGTTGTGTTCTCAAATGGTATTCTTATAACTTTTTAGTATTAAATTAATGATAAAGTTACTTAAGAACACTTTAATTAGTTTTCAAT